TGCAGTTCATTGAAGCGAACAGRAGGTAAACGGGTCAGTATATTGCCTTTAATGACATTGTATTCCTCTCGAAGCCCTGCGATAGTTAGCATTACTAGGTCTTTGTCCTTCATTGGTTCTCCAATGTTTGCTAGAGCAGTGGCATATTCGTGAACCCTGCTTAGGTAATCAGCCGGTTTTTCATCACCCTTCATGGTGATTCTAAGCAATTGAGTTTTGAGAGTAAATTCATGAGAGGCTGTAACAGGGGCATAAGCTCTTTCAAGAGATAACCATACATCACGTGATGTTTTTCCCTGAATGTGTTGATAAGAATCTTCGGACACAGTAGAGATGATAAGCATCCGAATGTGGGCATCGTTTGAGATCCACGGAATGTAGCTTGGATTGTCGGTGGTTGCTGATTCGTTGGTGATTTTCTGATCAGGGCACGGTATTAATTGTATTGTTAGGGTTAGGCTCTGATACCATATAAAACTTGATATTGATTGTATTGATTGAAAAATAATAATAATCTGATACACCTTATATAGGTAAAACTAATTACACTTTGGACCCTAGACAATATTAATAATATAAACTAGACTAGTTGACTTAGTCTAACACAAGTAAGCATAACATTTGCTTTTCTGCATGTTCATCATCCTGGATTATTTATTTAGGGGCCAATGATTATATGAATGGGAACAATGATCTTATATCCAATCTTAAAACCAATATATCCCGTAATCCATTTAGACTTGCTAATGGATCAATGTGTTAAACTATAGGCATAAGATCCACTCAGAACTTGTCAAACCTAAGTTCATCATTTGTTTTATTTCCCTACTTTTCCAGATAGTCTCATATCTTTTAGTCAATTTACTAGAAAACACAAGTGTTCGGTGACCCTTTTTCCCATACATTGATTGTGTCGTTCCGAAATTGGGAACGAACTAGTTGATTGACACAGATTTTTGATCTCAAGGTCTTTACCGCTTGTCTATCTCGCGATCTTCAGCAGCACATCTTTATGATTCCTATTAGGGAGGCTTACTGTTGGCTAGCCCACACTTCATTGATTGTTTAGGAACAGTTAAGGCCAGATCTTTTTTTGTTCATGAGTTAGCTTGAGTCACATCAGTTAGGTAAACATGCATCTTGCCTGTATCCCCCTAAAGAGTCTAATCGAGTCACCTTTTTATTTAAGTTGATCCACTCGAATGTATGGAGACCAGGGCAGTCAATTGCGACACTCTGGCAGTACTATAGAGGTTCGCGGAGGTTAGAGAAACATAGGTGGACAAATAGTGGGCATAATAGTGGTACCACAAATAGCGGCACTATTTAACGCTATTTGACGGCAATTGAACCCAAAGTAGCAGCGCTGTTTACCACTATTCACTTACCGACCTGCTTCCATGTGCTCGACCTTGTTTGTTCATCAAATTACCTTCATGACTTTGTTTATACTCGTGTTCATCACTTAAGTACCTAAGTTCTTTATCAAATCATCTTCTCTGCTCCCATTTGAGACTTATTTGAACTCAGTGTCTCAGTCTTTTCTGCAAGCAGTGTTAATGGTTGGACACTACTTTGGTTAGTGTTAGCTATTGACCTATGTCACTACGTGGATGCTCTTTAAATTGTTGAAATAAATAATGGTGGGCAGTAAGAAACCACGGGTATGTTCTTTAAATTTTTGCAATAAACATCGATGGGCAGTAAGCAACTTTGTTTCCGTTCTATTGCATGTGTTTTTTGCTAATGGTTGGATTTTCGACGCCACTTTGTTTCCATTCTACCATATGTTCTTTGTCAAGTTCCTTTTATATATTAAATATTTCTATCATTTATATAAACCAACTTTTATCGCTATACGCCGGCTTTACCATTGCAAAAACCGCGATTTCAAATCACGATCCTGACCACCATTTCCACAAATGACTTTGTTAACTGCTTAGATGGGGACCTTGTCATGTTATTTATGCTAGTGGTTTTATTTATTTTGTTACATTTGCTAACTTTGCTCTTGCAACATTGGTTTTTGGCCCAAGTCACAAAATTAAATTTTTTCCATCTTTTGCAATTTCTATGCTTATGTCAAAACCCAATTTGATGTTTCCATTACTTCAATCTATTAATGCAAAATGATATCTCTTCCGACTTCATATGTCACTTATCTATGCATGGTATTATACATGAATCATCGTATGCCTATACATCCCAGCAAAATGACATTGTTGACTGAGATGGACCCAGAAATTTACAAAATTAATACTGGTGTGTTGGTTGTTTCCTTGCCTTGCAACAGCAAGATTCCGAGTTCATGAACATAATAAATCTGAAATTAAAAGCTATAAAACTTAGAAAATTGGTACATACAGGATTCGAACCCGCACCTGGAACGAAGAAACAACCACACAAACCAACAAATTCCTGTCATTATTCCAGTTTGAAGAAATACAAGGGGCACTTGATGAAATGACATGGTAGCACCTTCAGGAAAGAATTTTTTTTTCACTATGACGAAGCCATGAAGCGGTGGCCCGTGCCACTATATGCTATCAAGTGGGTCTGCCCCTGATTCTCGAGCAAGAGAACCGACATTTGTTGGATATGACTTGCACTATGATTATTACCACAAACGTTTTTAGGTTGATGTGGTTTTGTCCTTCGGGGGAAGACATTTCTCCATACTCTTTCCAAAGGGTACTTATTTTCTTCCTACTCCTAAAATATTTGGATGTGTATTTTATGTTCATAATCATCGCCTTAAGACATAATAAATTTGCATCAAGTGTCTGTTCCCTGGGTATTCCATGTCCAAATTCCAAAAAGGCTTTTGTAGGTATAGTCCAACCCTTCATAGATATTTTACCTACACTAATGTCACATTGAATGAGTCGAGTTCTTTTCTTGTCAAAACTACCAACACTCCTTTTGAGTCATAAATCCAATTCTGATTCTTGTGAAGTGATGATACTTCGCTCTTAAGCATTCCATTAAGTGCACGACAGGTTTTCATGCCAACAGTATTGACCAATACTCGATTCATAAATGTGCAAGTTAAAAACACTGAAGACAAGTGCACGAGACCCAAGAGACCTTACATATGCATCATGATTTTGGTAAGTCTCCCATTCCACCACCTAAGACACACATACCACCACAGGTTGTCACATACTAGCCTAGTACTCGATACATCTCTAACCACCTACAAAGCTTTATGACCTACTAGTGCTCCTCTCCTCGATATTTCAATCGCCTTCGTAAAAGACAGAGCACACAAACTTGTACTCAATATCCCATCCATGATTATCTTGCCTGCTCTAACATCTTATTAAAGTCAGGTGCCTACACAACAGCCATTGATATCATATTTTTCCCAGATAGTTTAAGCAACGTAGGAAGAGATTGATGCCAAACATAAGAATCACAATTGGGGTTTGGTACAACTTCATGGAAAGAGCAAAGTAGATTGTGATTGAGTATTCATAGTAGAACTTAATCCTGATAATTCATCACATCAGTTGAAAGCCCATTTAGTTGCAAAGGATTGTTCTCAACCTATCAGGTTGACTATAAAGACACCTTCTCTCTAGTGGCTACGATATTAGTCGTTCACATATGTATAGCCTTAGTTGTCGTTCATTATTGGTTGCCTGATCTAATAGATGCCAAAAAGTTCCTTTGTACATGGCATTCTTGAGGAGGTGTACATGAAAGTTGAAACAACCACATGGGTTTGTTATTGAGACAGAGGCCTCAAAGGTATGTCGATTGCAACTTTGACATTTTTTCAACCAAATATATCATTTATGATTAGTGTCTTGAGTTGTTTCATGTTCGCTCCTTATACAACTCACTAAGATACAACACTTAGCGTTTTGAGGTATCTCAAAGTCACACCAAGCTTAGGATATCTTATTCACCAAAGAAGATTGCAAGATATTTGGTACAGGTACTGTGTGTTTGTTGAATGGAATCTAGTTTCTTGGAAAAGCGAGAAACAACATATTTTCTAGTGATCAAGTTTTGAGTGAGATTATAGGGTCATGGCAAATGTCTCATGCGAAATGATGTAGATAGGGAAACTTCTAAGAGATCTTGGAATGGTCACAAACAACTTTGATGAGACAGTATTTGATCACTAATCAACTATTCATATAGCCAAAAATCAAGTAATACATGAGAGGACCAAACATATTTAAGTTGATTATCATTTGATCATAGACCATATTGTAGGAACACAAATCCTCCATCAATCCAATCGGTACACATTTTGACCAAATACTAGTTTGCAGACATTCTCATAAAGCCATTACGAAAAGCAAAAATAGATTTTATTTGTAACAAGTTGGATATGATTTAACATTTTCATTCTAGCTTGAGAAGTGTTGAATATAGTATATTAGGGTTTACCTATCATGTTTGTGTCGACATGTTTTCCTCAAATAGGTTCCTATTTTGTATATATATTTATGTAATCAGCCTTAAAGAGATATAAAATAGATATTAGGGATCTCCATAAGAGTTTAACACGTGTTAAGTAGCAAAATCAAGCTTAAGTTGTGATAGAGTTATATGGTGCACATTATCCTTGAACAAAAAGAAAACTCAACTTAAGTGGGGAGAAGAGGCTGAAGAAACCGCAACAGATGACTCCGTTTTATAGCTTTAAAGCTTTGATTTTGTAATTTAATAAAAGAGGCAATATGGTTTGAGTTTATATGATATGCTTTGAGATAGCAATTCAAGTTTTTAATTAAAAATATTAGGCATGGTGGTGAACCCCTTCCCTAGATTAGGTAAACAACCTGCAACTATAGTTTGGAAAAAAAAAACATAAAAGCAGATTATTATCAAGTGTGACTGCACATTGTTCAAAATAATGGGTGAGAAGAAAAGGTAATAGTAAAGAACAGAGGTGAAGTCTCCACCATTTTCAACATACAAACACAAGTCTCCAAAAACTTGGTGTACCAACTTTGAGAGGGAGAGGGGGAGAGAGAGCATACCACAATATGTGAAGCACTTGAACCAGAGTTCAAGCCTACATCATAGGTTGACACATGGGCCCATTCAGATAATTTGAACATCCACCTTCAAAGCAAAAAACATTGATACGGGACTAAGTGTTGAAATTAACTGTCATAATAAAAATAACTATTTATAAAAAACAATGAATTTTGTTGTAAGAAACCTCACCCATAGGAGGCTTGTTTATCAGTTAAGAAGCCTCCAGTCATAACCTGGTTTCCAGTGCCCTCATCGAAACAGAGTGACATGTGAATCATTGAATTCAGCTTATCAGAAATTTCCAGAAGCTCCCCACAAACAGGGCAACAATTTATAAGTGGCTCCCTGCAAGAAAGGAACAATAAAAACAGAAAAGAGCCTCAGAACATGTAAACTATAACAGTATCATGTAACATCAACCGTATTTTAGAACTTGGGACAACACATTGGATTTTTCAGATGTGCAAAATTGTAGAATTAATTTTTGCACTCTGATTACAGGCATCTCTCATGTTTTTCCCGCATCCATATCAATCACAATCACCATAAAGTTGGAAATTTTTATTTGTACACTGTATATCCTTGACCAGACATTATTAATACCATGATTACAACAGAAATTATGGATAAAGTGAACCAGGGTTCTAAATGGCACACCATGGCATTAAGATGAGTCTCCGACGCCACGTTAACCCCCATTGAGGTTGTGCAAGGCGAAGTCGCACCATGGCGTCTCAAGGCGTATTTGACTTTGTTTGACTTTCTTATTATTTCATTTTTGAAGTTTGCCTTCTTTTCACCACTGGTCGAACATTTTTTTTACTTTTTACTATTGGTAGAACTTTTTTTGTTTCGAGCTCGATATAATATTTTTTTTGTATACGCTCTTCATATATATATGATATAAATCTAATATTTTTCTTCTTTTTATATGAATTTGAAGTGTTTAATATTATTGAGTAATATAAGAAAACACACACACATATATATATCAAATTATATGATATAAAGACATGCCACCTTAAGCCATGCCATGCAAAACATCGCCTCGCTGTGGTCTCTAGCGCTTGAGACTTAACCTCGCCGTCACACCACGCCTGATACCATTTAGAACCTTAAAGTCGATGCAAGAAAAATTTAAAAAAACAAAACTATGATCTCATTCAAACATATTATGTGTTTAATTCGGTAGAAAGATAGGGATGCATTTTATGCTTATTTATTTCCTCTTATTTTGGGAATAGATTTTGTAAATGTTAACTATATCAACCCTTCTTGTATATGTCAAATTTACGAGAAGGTTATTCATGGTATCAGAGCGGTCATCACTCTGAACCGTCATCTTCTGGCGTTGCAAAGTCAGATGAGCCCTCTGCTGTTTCCCTGTCAACCCCCTCAAAGACGTGGTCATCAACCCCCTCAAAACATACACAGTGCAGATAATAAGTGTGATGGTATACATGTAATCAGGAACAACACCTAATATAGAACAAAAAATTATGGGTTTACACAGCAACCAGATATACGAGCAGACCACGAGATAACATAAGTCACATCAATCAAGATTACCCAAGGACAATCACACAAGAGCAGGAAGTAAAGTCTGTAGTGTTGTAAAGCAGGAAGTAAAGTCTGTAGTGTTGTAAAGCAGGAAGTAAAGTCTGTAGTGTTGTGAGACACCAAAAATAGTATACAGCAACATGATATCATGTGGACATACCTTTCTTGTTGTACGGCGAGAAGTGTAGCCAACTCGTCCATGCTAACAACACCATCTCCATTTACATCAGCTGCCTTAAAGAGCTCCTCTTTCTAGCACAGAATGTGTAGGTTATTTACCAACAAAGCAAGCTCAAAATTATTTCAACATATATTTGGCCGAGTTAATTTGCAGGGTGAGAATCTCTTCCACATTGCAAATACAAGTATTGCAATAATATATAAGAGATAGGAAGTACATTTGAAACAATCATAACTGGACTCATGTTGGTTCGACATGCAAATGTAAAGGATTGGTGATGGAGAATTTCTTCTATTTATTTCCTCACACCATTAGCATTGTGTTCACTTGTTTTTCCTCTTCACCTTTTACCTTCCTCTTTCTCTTTCTACATGCAAGATCCACTTATGAACACACTCTCCCTATGACATGACAGGCACACATCTCTAATTGTTTATACGTGTTTTTAATGCCTACATATAATTTAAATGCATAATTAACTAATTTGTTATTTGCCTTACAAGGCAAACAACAATGACCATACATAAACTAAGTAGGCAATTGAGGAACTTCTGTTATGCTCTGGTTTGTGAAATGGCTTTTGAGTTTCACACCGTTATTTGGAAAAGGAATTAAAATGTAGAAAATGTTAATCATACATGTCTATGTCATACTTTCTTGAACTACTGGAAAACTCCTTATTCACAGTTAACAATGAAGCCAAAGCAAAACACTGTCTTTAGTAAAATTATGTGAAAATGTGAAGTCATACAATTTAACAGAGTTGTGAACTCAAGTCAATATGTGAGGGGAAATCTATATCTGGAATACAATTTATTGGTTGATCACAAATGGACAAAGATTATTAGTTCAAACTGAACCTTTCTTGCTGCAAGTTGATTACCAAATGCATTTATTAGTTCTGAGAACTCAGAGAAAGACAATTTTCCATCACCATTATAATCCTGCATAAACGCAAAGTCACAAGTATTAAGAAGTTGCTGGGAACAAAATTGTTAGATATATGCACAAGAGAGGAGTGATAGACGAAAGATAAGATACACAATCCATATTGGCACATAATATAAACCTTCAAGAATAAGGTCTGCACTCACTTTGCATCATAAATTTCCAGTTTTACATCAAGCAATACATGGAGCAAGATGTGCAGGTGCAATTACTCGTCAAGAAACAAAGATTTATCTTTCTTATGATAATCAAAAATGCATTCTTTACTTCAAAATTTCTGTTGTACAAGAAATATCAAATGCTGTTTATTTAATTTCATCAATATATTCCACACACGTATGCAAAACAGGATAAACGAGCAGATAGCAACATACTGTTAATTTATTATCATGTAGCATAACAAGAGAAGTAAAGATGTATTTGGAAATGCAACCTATCAAGGCAACATGTGTATGATATCAAGATTGCAAGATACTCAATACGAACCACTTTTCCACCACAACACAATCAATATGAACTGCAATACCTTATCCACTTAAAATTAAAGAGTTAATCAATGCATCATGTGTGAAGTGTTGCCAAGTAGTAATAATATCTTGTTCTGAATATTTAATTCTACCCTTTCAAGGTACAAGGAATATGAGCTATGTTTGGTCTTCATAATTGATAAACCTTTTGACCATAAAACCCAAACCTTAATTACCACATATCAAAACATATAATCACATATCAAGTCAAAATCACACAAAACTACCTCTAAAAGAGAACAAGTATGCCAGACTGAGGTCATGGCCAACATTGAAAGGTCAAGTTCATAGCTATTGCTTAAAGGCCCTTAAGCATACTGTCGTGTACCATCATGGAAAATGTAAATGGCTTCCATTTTTTAACATCAACAAGGAATCCGTCTTGTACTTCCATGCCAATAGCCAATAGAGGAGATCTAACCTGATCATTCCCATAATGTTCATTTATTCCTACATAAATCTAAAAGCTGGGAGCTGATAGAATACGAAAATATGTTTTAAACGGCATTACTAACTAAACAGTTAGAGCAAAAATTGATTAGCAAGAGGATAAAAGATGATCCCAGACGTACAACTATAGACAAGATTCGCCTTGCAAAACTTTTCTCTGTTTCAATTGGGTCCTGCAAATGGAGAAGTTAAATGTTACACACAGATGAGACTGCATGTAACCAACCACTAATGGAATGAAAATGAGAGCTCACCTCGATAGAACATGAAACAGATATTTTGCCAACCATTACATTGGATGATGATGGATCAAATAACTCAAACACCTCAACATCAGAATCTGAAGCCTGCAACACATCACGACCATGTATAAATATATATATATATATATAATTATATATATATGTGTGTGCAAACTCAATGTAGCAATGCAGATGTAAATAAAATATAATTGAAAATTATGTACAATAGGAAATAACCTATTATCAGTCAGCAAGTGTCTTCTTGACATTTTGAAATTTGAAAAGACAATTCAGAGCAACAAAAAGTTGAAATGAAATGTATGAGAAATGGAATTATAATGTTTCATATTATTAGACAATTAAGTGCGATATATATACATAATTATATTAGAGGGTCTAGAGTATAAATGTATCTCTTATATATATATCCCTGATTGCAATCGTGATTCACATATATACAACACACAAATTACCAAGTTTATCTTGGTATCAGAGCCTGCCCTAGACATCCTCCGCCATCACAAGGAAACCCTAAAGCTACCGCATCCATCTTCCTGTAACCCTACGGTTGCCGCGCCTTTCTGTCTATCAATGACAATTGTTGCAGCTTTCACTCCAAACCGAGAAAACCACCCATAACTCCAAGTTTGGCTTCACTTTATCAACAAACAACTATGGCCATTGGAAGGCAATGGTTCAACCGTTCCTTGTTACAAACAACCTGTTCGGCTATGTAGATGGCACCATTCCCTGTCCACCGATGACTATCTCATCATCATCATCATCTGGAAAAGGTGTCGACGGCACCACAGTGCCGCCACCACAACCAAATCCTAACTACACAGCATGGGTTTCCAATGATGCACACGTACGGATGTTGATTATTTCTACAATTTCTGAGGCGTCGTTCCAACACGTTCAAGGACTTACCTCCCGTGATCTTTAGTTGTCTCTTGAACGTGCTTACGCTCCTCAGACATCATCTAGGAATACACCTTAAAAACTCAGCTTCTTAACTAGAGATGAAACCTCCTCTGCATACCTGATCAGCGCTCAGGAATATGTTGATGCTCTCGCCAATATAGGCGAACCAATGAAAGAAAAAGATTTGATGATGCTGGTTATCTCGGGTCTCAGAGAAGAATACAACGGGTTGAAGTCAACACTCCTTGGTCGCCAATTCCCAACTGCCTTTGCAGAACTTCATGGCCTGCTATCAGACCATGACTACATGATCAAGAAATCTGCAACTGACATCTCTCCGCCTCAAGCATTCACGACTGTCACGAACAACCGCAACTCAGCGGTTCCTCGTGCCTCCTTGTCAAATCCTCAACCGGATCAACTTCAAGCTATTCAGCAGACTCTATCACAACTTGATCTTCAAGTTCAGCCTGTTAATTCACAGCCTGCATAGGCTTTTTACACCAACAGATCTGGGAATAACCGTGGCCGTGGACGAGAAAACTACAACAACAGAAGTCAAGAAGGAGGTAACCGTAATTAATTTAGTTGGGCTTCTAATCAAAACACTGTTTTTGGCACATGCAACAGGTGTGGGATTGGTCATATCTCGTCTCATTGCCATAATCGTGACCCTGCTCCTATGAGGACGAGACAGCCACCTTCTGCCAACTTTACATATTACCAGTCACAAGCTTGGCTTCCGGATACTGGCTTTAACCATCATGTTGCACCGGACCTATCTAGCTTCGATAACTCTGAGGCCTACTACGGTGAGGACAACCTTCACGTTGGCAATGGTAAGGGTTTACCCATTCTATACATTGGTTCCTCACAACTTTATTCACAAAACAAAACCTTTTCCCTTAAAAACATACTACGCGTACCTGACATAAAACAAAACTTACTTTATGTTCAAAAATTCTGTTTTGATAATCATGTGTATTTTGAATTTCACTCTACTTTCTTTGTTGTGAAGGACAAGTTTACACACACTATCCTCCTCACGAGTCCAAGTAACGGTGGTCTCTACTCCTTCCGTCCCCCTCAAGCCTCAACCTGTTCAGAAAATGTCATTTTCTACCGCACATGCCTCTTCCACCACATGGCACCAAAGACTTGGACATCCACATCCATAGCTTTTGAAGTCCATGTTGTCTAAATATAATTTACCTTTACAAAATAAGTGTGCTAGTACTTTTTGTGATTCATGTTCTATTGGCAAATCGTCTAAACTTCATTTGTCACCCTCTACTTATAAAAGTTTGCACATTTTGGATTTAGTTTTTTGTGATGTATGGGGACCCCGCTCTTGTTCCTTCTTTTGATGATCACATTTATTTTCTACCGCGTGTTGATCATTACTCCAGATTTATGTGGATTTTTCCATTAAAGCTAAAATCTTATGTTTATGCCACTTTTAAATGATTCCTTGCGATGGTTAAAAGGCATTTTCAAACCAAACTGAAATTTGTCCATACCGACTGGGGAGGCGAGTTTCGGAATCTCTCCCAATTCTTCTCTCCTCTCGGCATCACCCATCGCCTCTCATGTCCACATACAACTACAAGCGAACAAAATGGCTTTGTTAAACGACATCGACATGTTGTTGAAACCGGTCTTACTTTACTTGCTCAATCCCATATTCCACAACGGTTTTGGCATTTTGCTTTTGACACTGCAGTCTATCTTATTAATCGAATGCCATCCGGAACCAACTCAAACACCTCACCCTTTGAGCATGTGTTCAAGCACAAACCCGATTTTTCCTTTCTTCGGGTTTTTAGATGCCAATGCTACCCTCATCTCCGTCCATACAATAAACACAAAATGGACTTCCGCTCTACACCTTGTGTGTTCCTTGGTTATAGCACCGCTCATCATGGTTATTGGTGTTACGACTGATCGTCTTCACGTGTCCTGTCATGTTCGATTTAATGAACAATCCTTTCCTTTCCAAACATCTCCTACACCCACTCCTACACCCACTCCTACTCCAACTACTCCAAATCCTTACGTCTCCACATATCCCAAATCTGACCTACCACCAACCTATTCATCCTCCACAGGACCTAATGCACATTCTGCTTCACCAGAACCGACACCTTCAACGATACCTACTGTGCAATCTGTCCCACAAGAAATGACACCTACCACCACCCTTCCTAATGACCACCCCACGGACCAACCACCCCTTATTCACACCTATCACCGCTGTTCCAAAGTCACCGAACCACCACCTCAGCCTACCCCTACCCCTACCCCTACCCCTACCCCTACCTCCCTCCTCTACCACCGAACAACCCACCCGTACTCGACCACCCAACCTACGCCCCAATCCCAAACATACCAAACCTTACAATGCCTCCTCATACCATACCCATCATCCTTCATTTGACACCGAACCGACCACCTTTATTATTGCTAACAGGTACCCTCAGTGGCATACTGCCATGGCTGACGAGTATTCGGCGCTGATGCGGAATGGTACGTGGGCACTAGTACCACACATTCCAAATTCCAACGTAGTTGATTGCAAGTGGGTATACAAATTAAAAAGGGGCAATACATTACAAGGCACAACTTGTAGCCAAAGGGTTTCGGCAGCAACCAGGCATTGATTATCATGAGACATTCAGTCTCGTGGTCAAATCGACCACCATACGTGTTGTTCTATCTCTGGCCGCAACACAGATTTGGTCCCTAAGGCAACTTGATGTGCAAAATGCCTTCCTACATGGTGATCTCAACGAGACAGTTTATTTGCAATAGCCACCCAGGTTTGTTGACCGGGACAAACACGATCATATTTGCCTACTTCACGAATCCTTATATGGATTAAACCAGGCCCTAGAGCTTGTTTTCATCGACTTTCTAGGGTCCTTCATTCTCTTAGCTTTCAGGGCTCCAAAACGAACCCTTCCTTGTTTATTTACTTCCACAGGGGCACCATTTTGTACATGCTAGTCTATGTTGATGACATTCTTTTGACAGGAAACAACCCAGAGGCTATTGACAAAATGGTACGTCTTAGCCAATCCTTTGCTGTTCAGGATATGGGTCACTTGTCTTATTTTCTCGGTATTTAATTTATCAGTCAGGGTCATGATATGATTCTATCACAACGGAAATACATCATTGAACTCTTGCAACGCGCAGGCCTGTCTAATGCTAAACCGGCTTCATTTCCTATGACCACTAATGTTAATCTTGCTCTTGGTGATAGTGCTACGTTTGCTGATCCGGTCAAGTACCGCCAAATTGTGGGTGCCCTTCAGTATGTGACATTGTCTCGTTTGGAAGCGGTCAACAAAATCTGCCAATTTATGCACTCCCCTACTGAAAATCATTGGATGGCAGTCAAACAAATTCTTCGTTACTTGCAGGCATTGTTGACTATGGTTTACGAATCATGCATGATTCAAGCACAATCTTTCATGCCTACACTGATTCTTCTTACAACTCCCTGAGTGGCTTCTTCGTTGCTGACTGGGCTGGTTTCCCCAACGACCGCCGATCCAGTGGGGGATATGCTATCTATCTTGGTTCAAACCTAGTATCATGGTCTGCATGAAAACAAAGGACTTTCTCTCGATCGTCAACAGAGTCTGAATACAAGGCTCTAGCCGATACTGTTGCTGAGCTCACATGACTCCAAACACTACTGCGCGAACTCCGGGATCCTATGAAGTCGGTTCCTACCTTATGGTGTGATAATCTTGGTGCTACGTATCTTTCAGCTAACCCTGTCTTTCATGCCCGTAAGCATGTAGAAGTTGACTCACTTTGTTCGAGAAATGGTTGCGCAATGGAAGCTTTCAGTTAAGTTAATATCTACAGATGATCATATTGCAAACGTGTTCACCAAGCCGCTACCTTCACAACAGTTTCTCCTATTACGGTCCAAGCTACAGGTCGCTCCCTGGCCTTAGCTTACGCGGGAATATTAGAAAATTAAGTGTGAAATATATACATAATTATATTAGAGGGTCTAGAGTGTAAATGTATCTCTTATATATATCCCTAATTGTGATCGTGATTCACATATATACAACACACAAATTACCAAGTTTATCTCATATAAATGTAGGTTCCTAAAAATTGGTTTCTTATTTATGGACTATGGTAAGTACTAGAATTTC